TTCTGTCCATTTGCTGCATAGAGGCAACCTGTGTTTGCTGTGATGCTAAACACTGTAACACTCATGTGTCAAATGCAATAATGGTTACTCATGGTGCTTGGTGGAGCTTCCCACCAGTGTTTGGTGGAGCTTCCTGATTAAAACAAGCTTGCAAGCAGGAGTGACATTCACTTCCAAAATGGCTTGCCTCCGGAAACTCTATGAATGTGGAGAAATGACAAAAGTTGTATAATTTTCAATTGTATAATTGTTCAGGTCTTTTGTTCATAGGGTCATTATGAGTCATCTATGACTCAATGGCACTTAACAACAGCAACATGAACTGTCAAAAGATCAAGGTTCATACATATTGCCAAAAAACGTAGTGTATGCATGCTTTGTTATATATCATCAAGTCAGAAATGACTTATTGCTGATTCTCCAGTGGGTTTTCAGAGGCAGTAAATTGCATAGGAGGAGATTGTCCTCTCTCTTGTAGAACATCTGGTGGATTTAAACCTTATGCCTTTGGGACTTCAGTGTAGGATTTTTTTCCACCAGGCCACCAGAGCTAGTAAGTGTGTGTGTATGTGTATGTGTATGTGTATGTGTATGTGTATGTGTATGTGTATGTGTATGTGTGTTTACGATATGTACTGCTAATCCAATGGCTGTTCATCTCCAGGAGTTTGAATCCACTAGGGACTCTGTGAGAGCCAGTTGAGAATTTATCTTCTGTTAGGTTTTTTTACAGCCTTGGAAACCTAATGGTGCATTGCTATGAGTTGGAGAGCTGTAATCACTTAACGACAATTATCTTTCTATTTGTCATATACATTCAATACCCATGGAAGGAACAGCTAGGAAATCAGACAAGGTTTTGCACTAGGCAGATCTGCTGCTCAGGACCTCTTTAGAATGCTAAAGACCAAGAGTATCAACAGTTGTTATTCAACAGTGAGGCTAAGGTGCTCCTTGGTTCAAGCCACGATATTTTCAATTAATTCATATACATATGAAGGAAAGGGGGGGGAAAGCACATTTAGACCAATAACTAATATTATGATAAATTGAGAAAAGATTGAAGTTATTAAGGACTTCATTTTACTTGAACAAATGGTGTATTGTATTTTACTTGAAACAAAACAATGCATAACATTGGGAATATCTGCTGCTAAAAACATTTTTAAGGTTCTAAAGAGCAAGGGTATCCATGTAAAATTATCTTATGCCTGCCCCAAACCATAGAGTTTCAAATGTCCTCCTACACCTGTAAAAGCTGGGCAATGAATGAATAAAGAGTACTCAAGAAATATTGATTCCTTTGAATTGTTATGGGGAAGAATATTGAATGTACTACAAACTGCCAAAACAACAAACACATGTTTTAGAAGTACAAAATACACTTCTCCTTCATAGTAAGAATGGAGACACTCCATCTCCCCTACTTTGGGCACGTTATCTGGAGGGGCTAGTCCCTGGAGAAAGACACTGTGCTTGGTAGAAGGTCAGTGAAAAGAAGACCCTCAACAAGATGGATTGATATAAGTGACTCTACCAGTGGGTTCAAATGTAGCAATTATCGTGAGGACCCAGTAAGGTTCCATTCTAGGATCATTATGAGTTGGATGTGACTCTACGGCACTTAACAACAACAACAATATCATCATCATCATCATACATTTTTACCATCATTTAGAACTCTTAAAGTTTAATTTGGAACACATATAATCTGTAGATACTACACTTCCATCTTATTTGTATATATTATTTTTTAAATTTTATACTGGTATACTTACAAAATCTGTATACATTGCTCTCTACACCAGGTATTTCTCTTTTCCTTTACCCACCCTGCCCTCCACTCAACAAATTGTGTGACCCTATGATTAAGCCCCCCTGCCCTATTCTCACCTCTGCCCATCCTCACCCCTCTGTCTTTCCCTCTCCTCCTCGGATCCTTGTACTCGTTCTATAATAATGGTTTTATACAGTATTTGTGTTTTAGGAGACTGAGTTAGTTCACTTAGAATAATGCTCTCCAGTCTCTTGAAAGTTAGGTAGTAATTTACAAAATGATTGCTCCTACATGTTACATAGTATTCCATTGTGTGAATGTACAATTTCTCAATCCATTCCATTGTGGTTGGACATTCGGGCTGTTTCTATGATCTTTCAATGGTCAGTAATGCTGCTATGAGCATTGGTGTACAAAAAAAATCAAACACAATGAGATACCATCTTACTTCAGTAGTGGTGGCAAAGTTTGTCAGGGCAGCAAGTAACAAATGATGGAGAAGATGTGGTGAGATAGGAACTCTTATACACTGTTTGTGGGATTATAAAACTATACAATCACTGTAGAAGGCAGTTGGCATTTCCTCAAAAAGCTGAACATAGAGATTCCATGTGACTCAGATATTACACTGCTTGGAATATATCCTGAGAAAATGAGAACTGAGGCACAGAGAGTTGCATATATTGTTGATGTCATTGTTAGGTATTATGGAGCCCAAAACAACTCAGCGACAACATAAACAACAGCTCTGGATCCTGTCCTATCCTGTAACATTCTCAAGTGGCCATATAAATACATTTTAATGAATGACTTGTGGTGGAAGGTCACAGACTGCAGTTTTCAATATGGATTGAGACTCAATATCAAGAAAACAAAGAGATTCTCACCACTAGGCCAATTGGCAGCATCATAATGGATGGTGAAGAGATTGAGATTGTTCAGTTTTGGTTTGCTTGGCTCCACAGTCAACACTCTTGGCACCAGCAGCCATGAAATTAAAAGATGTATTGTGATGGGAAAGTCT